AATGATTATGTTCCACCATTAAAATGTAAAAGACTATATGTATAGCACTGGCTTTATTTCAATGCTGATTTTATAAATTGTAAGCCTGCCAGTTTACTTTAATGTTGATTTTTTAAAAAAATATTTCAGTTTATTGCATATTGGAAAACTGTATGAGTTGACTGTAGCTTTATTACATAATGGTAATACAGTTTTAGGAGATGAAAACTGTTACCTATTGCATGCACTGTATGTTGGATAATAAATCAAATAACTTTAAAAGGTTGAAAAAGTGAAGAAATTAATTTATTCTGAAAAAGTATCCAGATTATTTGAATTATTCTGAAATTCATGTATTTTGGTCATTTATAAGATAAAAAATAAAATTATTCTCAGAAAGTTTACTGAATTAGGGGCGCCTGGGTGGCTCAGTTAGTTAAGCATCCAACTCTTGATTGCAGCTCAGGTCTTGATCTCAGAGTTGTGAGTTCCAGCCCCACGTTGGACTCCATGCTGGGTATGGAGCCTATTTAAAAAAAAAAAAAAAAGAAGAAGAAGGAGGAAAGAAAGGTTACTGAATTGTTAAAAGTTGAAAAACAAATACTAGATTCTTATTTAGTGATCTTTGTTATATTATAGCACTATATTCAAGAACTGGGATTCTGGGGATCCCTGGGTGGCGCAGCGGTTTGGCGCCTGCCTTTGGCCCAGGGCGCGATCCTGGAGACCCGGGATCGAATCCCACGTCGGGCTCCCCGGTGCATGGAGCCTGCTTCTCCCTCTGCCTGTGTCTCTGCCTCTCTCTCTCTCTCTCTCTCTGTGACTATCATAAATAAATAAAAAAATAAAATAAATAAAAAAGAACTGGGATTCTGAACTGAATTGTCTTCTACCAAAGGATTTTATGTTTCAATCTCAAGTTACAGTTGCACATATTTTCTGCATATAGCTTTAGCCCTTATAACAATCCTAAGAACTAAAATGTCATCCCTAATTAGTCAGTTTCTTCATCCACTCAACATGTATTGGGCACATATTGTGAGTGAGTTATAATTCTAGAGCAAAATCACAGTTCTTGTCATGAAGTCCTCAAACCATAATTGGTTTGGTTGGTGCTGGAGTGAAGGGAAGTGCTCAGTGTGGCAATAGGAGATGGTGGAGTATGGGGCACTAGAAACCATATGTTCTTCTGTGTAAAGGATGACTGATGCTCAGCTCTACCTCACGTTGCCTTGGTGCGGGACTAGGTGTTTTAATTTTTCAAAAAAAAAAAAAACTTTTTTTTTTTATATCGAAAACTTACTTTAAAAAATTTAGGGTACAGCGAGTGAAGAAAATAGTGCTGCTGGCCAGATGCAACACATGGCCTGCAGAGAGGCAAGTGTCCAGGTAATTACACCGCGAGGTAGAGATGAACCCAGGGTGCGATGAAAACAGAAGAGAAGTGCCATGCGAGATTTAGGAAGATCCCAGAAGAACTCTGACAGATTGTGGTGCAGGTATGGTAGATATAGTCAGAGTACATATAGGAAGGCCCCAGGGAAAAAGAGGCAGGCGGCAGTTGGGCAAACTGCAGGTTAAAACAACCAGGGTGGGTTTGGGAGCTAGTGGTGTGCCCAGCCAGTAGGAGATGGAGCCCAGAGCCACTTCTCCTTAGCGGGCTCCTGCAGAGGGCTTCCAGGACCCTGCCTCTCTGCCTGTTCACACACCAGCGCAGGGTTTTACCAGATGAACAAGGAGGTGGAAGGGGCGTGCATTTCAGCACCTGTTGGATTTATCCCGGTTACCATTCATTCAAATGAGCAGGCTGAAAAGTTTGATTTGAGAAGCAGCCACTTTCTGTGCAGCTGAACAGAATGTTTGCAGCCCTGGGCTTCAGGCTCCCGTCTGAATGTTTGCTTGCCTGGGCCTCCCCAGACTGCCACTCTGTTTGATACTGTAGAACAGCAGTTGTCAAAGCAGAAGTTCCAAACTCCTAAAAGACAGTGAATCAGGCATCCTTAGTCTTTTCCTTTATTGCCTAGCTAGAGGCAGTTTCTCCACACACATTTTGCAAAAATGATTGCTAGATTGTTAATAGATGATATCTAGTCTGGATTTTTTTTGGCAAACTATGAAAACCCATAATCCTGATAATTCGTATGTCTCATGGTTGATAAGTCATCTCCAAATAAACAGGACACTAATATAAAGGCATCTTTCTCCCTGGCTTGGGCCCTGAATGCTCAGAAGTTAAAAGCAATTTCAATAAATACCTTTTTATTGCCTTATTTTTATTTTAAATATTATTGCTTACATGCTTGTTATTTCATTAAATTTTCCTTCTTTTTATGAATGCCAAAGCATTTCACAAGGTTATTTCATTTTTTTCCAGGAAATGCAAGGTCACACTTAACACTTCACCAGCCAAATTGTTTGTTTCTAAATACCCCTTTGCCGGGTTATACTCAAATGTGTTTAGGAGATACCACCACCGCTGCTAAGCTGTGAGCTCCCTGGAAGTGTACCTTTGTAATTCCTGCCCCAACTTGATATTGCCTTCTTTCAAGCACCTAATAACTACTTAACCAAAATGTGTTGAATAAATGGATAAATCATGAAATGTCTTATTTTGTTATGTGGTTTTGGTTTTGTTGATCATTTGTGTTCACGTCATCCTACTGTGCCACGGGCCATTGGATGCTGCAGTATAGGATGATAAAACCCTAGGTCAACCTGGTGGAACAGCTGAGCACCCCATTTTGGAGTTACTAGTCATGGATTTGGTTTGTTTTTCACCATTTCTATGATGTGTCCTTTGACCTGAAGTTTTCCTCTTACATTGGATAGAAGTAAATATCTACTCTTTGTAAGATTTTATTTATTTATTCACGATAGACATAGAAAGAGAGAGAGAGAGAGGCAGAGACACAGGCAGAGGGAGAAGCAGGCTCCACGCAGGGAGCCCAATGCGGGACTCGATCCTGGGTCTCCAGGATCATGCCCTGGGCAAAGGCAGGCGCCAAACCGGTCCGCTACCCAGGGATCTCCAAATATCTACTCTTTTTAAAGTGTGGGAGTATGGAAACAACTATACTTTTTATAAAGTATAGTCACAGTACTCAACATATAAATGCTTAGTTCAGACTTTGAATTAATTCTTAGTCTTTGAATGTTTTCTGTGCACCTGTAGGTCCAGAGATCTAAACTGTCACCTTCCACTGGATTGTGACCACCTGAATAATGTCTCCTGTTGGTCTAACAAGTCACAGACATTGGACCATTAGGTCTTCAATATGAATGTCATTAATTACAACAATAATCATTGCCAATGCTTATGTAGCATTTATTATGTGCCACAAACAGTTTGTATCAATTCACCATCCTGGGAGTGCTTTATGAGTGCTATTCAAGTCACTTATTCCTCACAGCAGTTTCAGGAGGCAGGCATTATCACTAGGCTCAATGCAGAGATGAGGACACTGAGGCTCAGGTTAAGTAACCTGGCCAAGGTCACACACTAGTGGGTGGCATTGCCTAACAACTGCCCCAGGAACCAGATCCACCCCCGTCCTCTGCTAAGTATGTGAGGCACTGGGCTAGGTAGGCACTTGATATACATTATCTCAGGTAATCCTCACAACAGCCCGTGATACAGGTTCTATTTTTATCTCTACCAATGTGTTGTTTCAAAGTGACATTGCTAAGAAATGGGCCTAAAAACCCAGGTGCTCTACTTAACACTTTTCCCTGATAGTTTCCCCTAAAAGCCAGGTTCTTAAAAAACCCATATTGGGTTTACATGCAGAAAAATGTTTGAACTTGGACTTTATATCATCCCATCTGCTGCCAGGACAATTGGGCAATCTACCCAGTCCTAATTACTTCCCAGCCTCTTGGTATAAAAAAAGCCAGGCTAAAAAAAAAAAAAAAAAAAAAAAAAAAGCCAGGCTAAGCGAGAAGTCACAAAAGAGAGAAGTGATATATTCCAATGGTGCATTTTGCCTTCTAGCTCCCAGTGTAAGAGATCTGTTAAAAAAAAAAAAAAAAAAAAAAAAAAACCTGCTCACATTTTTTAAAAGCAAATTAGGATTTTTAAAAAATCACCATATTATTCAATCATCAGACTTAATGCCTTGTAGATATAATGACATAGTAATAAGATGTATCTGAGATAGAATGTTTATTCTTATTCATCACAGAAAAGTTAAGTCTGCAACCAAATCCCACTTGTTTTCCACAATATATTCTTCATTGTTTTGTGCTGCTTTATTCTCTTCATTAATTCAAACATTTACGTGCCCACATGTGCCAGGTGCTATGCTATACTAGGAATACAAAGAGTAATGAGGTGTGGTACCCCTTTTAAAGAAACACACAGTCTGGTGCCTAAAACTGGCATACAGATAAGCATAATTGCTATGTCATATGATCGATACTGTGCATGAATGTAGAAAGACCTTTAGGGCCATAGGGAACAAATAAATCTCTTTAGTGTGCTTGGTCTTGGCCAGCATCTCAGCAGGGCGACAGCTGAGCAGGTTCTTAGAGGGATTTAGGGGGAACGCTCTCAAGACCTAGGTTACAGCCTGGGCGAGAGGGCAAGACCACGGGGGTTCAGAAGAAACGTGGGCATCAGGCTATGGCAGAGCCAGATGGATGGGAGAGCAGTGACTAGTGATGACTCCGGTGGGCTAGTGGGTGAGATTGTAAATGGCCCAGGTGCCAGGCTAAGGAGTTTAAAGGGTAATTTGCAAAGATCAACCCATTCAAACTATTTAATTTAGCGTGGTGTGTGTGTGTGTGTGTTTTGGGAGAATGATAAAAGTTAGCACGTAGGATATAGTTCCATTCATTTTTTTCTGCCCTATCATCTAAAAAAAAAAATTCTCCTTCTAATGCAGAAATCATAGTACTTTATTTAATTTTTTTCTTTAATTGTGTTTATGTGATTTTTAATCTCATCATTTATTTTATAGACTTTTCAAGGAGTACTATATAATTTACCTTTTTGCCCCAAGAACATAACACATATTTTTTCATTATTAATGAAATACCCTAGAAAGAACTTTTAGAAAAAAGAGGGAAAAAAATTCACCCAGGATGCCACAATATTAACCTAACCGCTGATAGTATTCTGACTTACTTATTTTTGTACATAAAACAGGTGTATCTTCTGAAGTCAAAATCGTGTTGCCATGACTTCCAACCCAAAGTGCGTGGTTTGGAAGATACTACAGTATCTGTGTGCCTGCCGCAGTAGTTAGTACAGAATCCTAGTGTATTGTTCTGATCAAACTAGTTGCTTGATTGTGGTATGCACTAACTGTCGATCTTTTTTTTTCTTGTATATTTGGGTAAATGCTTTGATATTTATACCCTCTCTTCCATATTAGCTTAATCCAAGAGATTTTGTGTTTTCCTTTAAAAAATCAGCACATTTTAAAAAATTAGGACCATGTCAAGAAAGAGATAACCCAAAGCATACCTTTTGGGGAATGTGATTTTATCTTCTCTTCCCAATTCTGCATCTGCACAGGCAGGAAGCTGCATGGTTGGATAACTGCTGGGTCATTTTGACATATGCAAGGAGGAAAAAGAAGCTATGACCAAAGAAGCTGGAAAAGCAAAAACCAAAACCAAAAAATTTTGAGTTCAGTCAAAATGAATCATTCATTCAACAAACATTAAATTTCATTGCACTGATAACTGGAGCCACTCAGGTGGCCGGAGTAACTTTCTGGGCTGTCTGTCTCAGACAGACAGGGTTATGTTCAGGCTCACCCCAGGCTGGCTGCTTGGCCAGCAGGGAGACAGCAGCCCGCCAGCCCTGCTTCCTTTGTTGTTAATTGCTATTGTTTTTCTTAAGGTCTTTGGTCCAGGGTTCTGGTTCTCTGCTCTGGTTTCTTTCTAAGTGGTCACATTGTTTGCTCTGGGTCTCTGTTAGTTTTGGAAGATTCAACTTTGAAGAGAAACTGAGCCCTTGTTTCTCTACCTAATAGATGGAACCACCAGCTGAGTCTTCCCTATTATTATTATTATTATTTTTTAAGATAGATCTCTTCTCTGGACATTGTATGGGTCTGAAAAAAAGTCAGCCATGTCTGTTTCTACCTTTTAGGTCATTTACCATAAAGATGAGGTGGTTTGGCTTTATCTTTTACCGAAAAGTGAGTGCCTCCAATTTCATCACTTGTAAATGATTTTTAGATGTTCTTAAATAAATGCTCATTTTTCTGCTCATAGATTACTTTCACTGTACTGGTTGGAGGAAGTACTCACACATGCCAAACGTGAGCTGTATCTGCTTCTTTGTGGAGCTGCAGGCCCAAGACCCAAGCCTGATGTCTTTATTAAACAGAGCAGATTATGTTGCAGGGTATATGCCACTCAGGAGCACTGGAGCCAACCCACCTGGGTGTACATCTTGCTATGCCTCTCATTGGCCTTGAGCAAGGGACTCCATCCTCTCTGAGCCTGTTTCCCCACATCCCTAAAATTGGGTATCTACCTTCTGGAGTCCTTGTGAAGGTAAATGAATTAATATGCTGGAGACAGTGCCTGGCACATAGTGCTTACTTAGCACATGTTCATTGTTACTTTATCACTATAATTGCCCTCTTGGCACCAACTAAACCCATCTACATGGTGGGTTTATATAGTCACTGTTGTAGTATAACTCTATTGGGTGGAGCTGTTGGAACTGTAGAGACTTGGGTAGAAAATAAAGGCATGCATAGGGGCACCAGGCTGGATCAGTCAGGAGAGCATGCCACTCTTGATCTCTGGGTTGTGAGTTTGAACCCCACACTGGAAGTAGAGATTACTTTAAAAGGTAAGATCTGTAAAAAAAAGAAAAAGAAGAAAATAAAGGCGTGTATAGCCTAGGAATTCAGAGCCAGTAGGAGTTTTGCATATAATGTGTAGGGAGACAAAGCTTCCACTCCCCTAACCTAAATTCTTAAAAGCTTACCTATTGTTTGTCTGTGTATCTTTTTACCAAGTAATTTCCTTTAAAACATAAATAGTATTACCTAGTAGAAATGTTAATGGTAGACATTGTACAGTGAATACAGAACACCAGCAACCAATGTCATCCTGGTTAACTAGATCTTCTTGTCTTTTAGAAAACTCCTCCACAATAAATACACGTAATAAGAGCCATGGCTTTAAAAGTGCTCCTGGAACAAGAGAAAGCATTTCGCACCATTGTACTTTTACTGGCCTATTTGGTAAGTCAAGTCTTTCCTAAGAACGTGGTGAGAGAGTCATCTAAGTAGTACCAAAACGATCTTCAATTTCCAATCCCATCTTTTACATTTTTCTTTCAAATTGTATTTTATCATGTTGCATTTCATTAGTAAGCAAAGATTGCTGCCAAGACAAAAGTCTTGACATTTGTAGCAATTGTTGAAATTATTTTGTTTACATTTAGATGAAGTAATAAAATCACAGCATTACTCATAGCTCTAGGACAATGGTACTCTGTTGTGTGTATAGGCTTATGTCTCTATAACACACCCTAGACCCTAACAAGACCAGATTCTCTTTGGAGCCCATGATTTACATAGTTTGTGAAGAAATTAGAATTGACTCTTAAAAGAGGTGTGATTTTTATATAGTTATTTAAACACTTCTTGGTTCCAAAAAGCATTAAAGACAGAGGGAGAATTTTAATGTTTGAATGCTTGACATGAAAGATCTATGAAGGTGTTCAAAAAAGTTGAAATTTATTTCATCTGGAGATAGGATCATCATCTGCAAATGTAAAACGAATTATTCATGCTGAAGACAGTACCTGAAGTCTTCTTGAAAGACAAAGTAAGAGTGGGGTCACTTTGGAGCCTGAGATTCAGTAGAGGAAGGAAAATTTTCCTTCCTTCCAGCTGACGCTGTTACACATTTGAATGAATGGTCTAGGAGGGAGGTAGTGGGATTTGTTTCTCTCTCTCCCTCCCCCCGCCCTTTTTTTTAAAGATTTTATTTATTTATTCATGAGAGACACAGAGAGAGGCAGAAACATAAGCAGAGGGAGAAGCAGACTCCCTGCGGGGAGCCCAGTGCGACTCAATCCCAGGACTCCAGGATCAGGACGTGGGCCAAAGGCAGATGCTCAACCACTGAGCCACCTGGGTGTCCCTGGAATTTGTTTCTCAGAGTGATTACAGTTTCTTTGTGGCTGAATGGAATCTCCACCTTGAATTCTCCCTCCTGCCTGCTTGAGAGGTTCAGACTTTGATTTTATTTAATTGGTTTGCAGGACATCATTATAGACACTCCTGCTTCAAGGAGGACATAGTTTATACTGATTAATTACTCATCATTACAATCAAGAACAATTTACTGTGCCTTTTTGTATAATCGCCATTCTGCAGAACAATAGTCTGTTCACCCAGTGCTTCTTAGAAAAGAGGACATGTCCTAAGTCATTTTGTCCTTTTCTACCTTAGGCACTCAGAAAAGTATCAGAGGAAGATAGCCGTTGATCCAAAAAAAAAAAAAAAAAAAAAGAGAGACAGAGAGAATGAGACACACACACACACACACACACACACACAGAAACCTCAGTCAGGGAATACAGAGAAAAATCAGGCTTATTGACTTATTTGTTCCACTGACTTATTCAGAAAGTGATTTTGGGGGGCACCTGGGTGGCCCAGTGGGTTAAGCATCTGCCTTCAGTTCAGGTGATGATCTCAGGGTCCTGGGATCGAGCCCCAAATCAGGCTCGCTGCTCAGTGGGGAGTCTGCTTCTCCCTCTCTCTCAAATAAATGAAATCTTTATTAAAAAAGTGATTTTTCTTCCTAAATTGAAAATTAAATTGGTCTCTGAATTCATGTTTACATTCAGTGATTGTGTAAATAATACTGATGATGTTGTTCCTTTCTTACCAAAAATATATGTATATAATTAACTTACTTTAAAATAACATTTTGCAAAACTTTTTTTTTCAGGCGTGTGAAGTGATTTGTGAAACAGGAGGCTGTAGACAACAAGAATTCAGGGATCGATCTGGAAATTGTGTTCTCTGCAAGCAATGTGGGCCAGGCATGGAATTGTCTAAGGTAAATATTGGATGCATGGTGAGGTTGTAAATCTGTGCTTTTAAAATACATTCTTTTGGGCTAAACTCTTTTAGCTAATTACTGGTGAAGATTTGGACACGATGACAGAATTTGGTTACTTGAGCCAAAATTGGGTAAATTGAGAGCCAATTGAGAATTGGGTTATTACCCAATTCTCTCTCCAGTACCTTTGATTCATATATCTTACTGAGATAAAAGGAGTAGGTTCTGATAATTAGAATCTAATTGTTGTTTTGTGAAATTTGTGCTTATCATATGTCAGTGAAAGAATAGAATTATTAAGGTGTATTTGAGTTAGTTAAAAAGAACCAAATACTCTACTGAAGATTTTGAAATAAAATCATAAGAGAAAATACTAACTCTACTTTCTTTTACTGGGTATTCTTTTTCTTAAGATGAATTATTACCATTGCTAGTCACAAAGCAGTGCCTACAGTAACCATGCTCCATAGAGGCAGCGCCTTTGCAAACTAGCGTTCTGTACATTCTTTTGACAATGCAAGTGCTATTATTAATCTCCCCATGTTGGATGTACGTTATTCCCAGGAGCATTTTAAATATATTCCTCTACCCGCTACTTGTTAAGAAGCAGTATGTCCCAGGAGGGCATATTTCAAAGTCTTGGGTATTCTCAGACCTTTTTTGCTTTATTTTCTAACCTTTTGAAGATGTTACTAGTTGTAGATAATTGATACATCATTTTGTTCTAAATAAAGCATCAAAGTCTTCCTGCTAGAAAACGAACAAAAAGATTTTTCTTTTTACTTAAAGTGACTTTTAAAAGAGGAGTCCTTTGCCCCTACAGACTGCCATTATTTCAAATGGAGTCTTGTCATTCATAGATTTTTGATCAATGATCCACAAACAGCAGGAAACAAAGCATTCTGCATTCTGCAAGTGATTCCTGGTGGATGGCTTTTCTCTGCTGGTTGTGTTCAATAAGTGGTGCCATTTAATATCCTGGGCTTTACATTTGGATTGAAACTGGCTGATCTTCGAACCCTGTGTTCCATTGACTTCACTGTGGCATCTAAACTGGTATTTTTTAGTCCTTATTGATTGTAGAGAGGTGCATTTTCAGATCTAGGTTTTGTGGTGTTGGGTGTAAGAGGAGCAGACCTGTAGATCTAGGATCAGTGAACAAAGTAGTAAAAAATGTGACAGTGCCCAACAGAAAAATAGATGATGAAGTTGCTACCTCTCAAAAGTTCTTCTTTTCCCAAATCTCTGTAAAAATCTGAGTGAAATGTCATAGATTCTGAAAGATGAGTAAATCATTTTCAGAAGTTGCTCCCTCTCCTCCATCCTTTGAATCTAGAGAGTATAGCCTCAGAATAATTTCTGGAGAATCAGACCAGGGGTGAAGGTCCCTATGACCTCTAGTATTTTTTTTTTTTTTTAGTATTTTTATCTAAGCTTTTTTTATTAAAAATATTTAATTAAAAAAATCTAACTTTTTATTGAAAAAGTAGGCTGACGGTCCTATCACCCCTAACATTTTTTTAATTTAAAAAAATCCATCTTCTGAGATTATCTGATAAGAGTTTTTCTATTTTACAATTTTCCAAATTTTCCATGGATTTTCAGAAGAAATATTTTTCTCTAGGTAGTAATTTTCCCCAAATGTGGAAACAGGTGTCTATCCCTATGACACTGGATGCAACCAAAGAGAGTAAGAATTCTGAATAATTCTGCCTTTACTACTTGATTAGTATTTGTTTCAATATTTATTATCATTTTAATTCATTGGAAAAAGGACAAATTGGGTGAGAAAGACTCAAAGGAAAGGTAATGATATCACTGAAAAATTAGGGTAAGACCCACTTGGATGCGCACGAATGTCACAAATACGTGTATCATGCTCCTACATACCCTGAGGTATCTACCTTGAGTTGGACATAGTACAGCCACAAAGTACCTTTACTAAAGAACATCAGTCAACTTCAGATAGTTCTTAGGTCAAAAAAAGTGCCACTTAAATCTTGTCATATAAAAGTTAATGGATATCTCTGTGTGTGTATATGTGTGTGTTATAAATTATATATTTTGCCAAGTCTTTTATCTTGGTTTTAGCTCCTAGCAAATAAAATTAGCAACTTAGCCTTGCTCATGCCCTAACAGAGCAAAGGAATCAAACGTATCAATGGAATATATATTCATACCGCGTTTCCTAGTATGTATATATTATAGTATATATACTATAGTATATATAATTATATATATAATACGTTTATACATATAAATATATATATACATATGTACATATACATTATACATATAATATTATACATATTATATACAGTATGTATATATCAAGACAGCTTGAGGTTTTTTCATAAGTGATTACTTTGGGGCTGGAAGTTTCAAAACTGTCCATTCATAATTTTACAGTTTCTTCTTTCTAGGCTGCCTTAATTAACTCTTTAGCAAGAACATATATCTGTCAGAGGAGAAAAATATTAAGTTCTGAGTATATTAAAATCAGATAAATCACTTAAATTAGCAAACCTTTTCAACTGGTTAACTCTGACATCCAAGTTTTACAAATCAAAGAAAAGTTTACATCTTTGGCTAATACTAAGCTTTTTTAAAAAAACATAATCTGATATTTATAAATAATTGAATTCCTTTTTCACTTATTATGCCAAACTTATAATTTGGAGGGCGGAATGCCTGTTCATTTGTAATAACTGAGTTCGGTAGTACTTACCTCTTTAACTGAGGCTTAAGATTCTGGTTACCTGTGGTGCTTGAAATTTTGAATGCACAATGAACAGTAAGTATTTTAAAGTCAGTTATTAAAAAGTAGAAAAGCTGAATCAAATTATTGATCACAACCAGTTTTCTTTATATTAAGGGGGAAAAAAAAGAAGTGCATTTTCACCAGATGTGAGAGCTTTCAGATAACCTTTATCCTAACATTATTAAATTACTTGTTTCGCTATAGTAAACATAACTTAAAACTTATGTCCATTTTCTAATATTGTGTCTCTCAACCCAAAATAACAAATGCTGGGTCATAGGGTTCTTTCAATTACAAATGTGTTATCTGTGTCTTAAAACTAAAGCCTAGAAATACTTTGGGTAAGCAGGTAGCGTTAAAATTTGCATCTGTGGTTTTATTACTCCTAATGATTATTTTCTTTGGAAGGCGTTCAATTCTAGTTTTTTCTAAAGGTGTCGGGGCTTACTTTCCCATTGTTAGGTCTCTGCCATTTAAAACATGTAGTGTAGGGTTTGGGGGAGGTTACCAGAAGAGCATTCCTGGAGACAGTCTACACTTTGGCACACCTGTCCTAGGTGGTCAGTGGTCCATCTGACCTCTTTCACTTCCTTTCAGTTGTCAGATAGTAAGTCTGCACAGAAGCTCCAAGCTCAGTAATAACCATTGTTGCTTGTTTAGATTGAGACTTTTCCTTTTGTTGGCCACTTTTTAAGTGATTACTTATTTTAACCTTTTACCCTAGATACTTTCGGTTATGTGTGTCTAAGGGATGTCTCTTAGCAAATATATACTACGTCTCAAATGTGTCTTCAGCTGTTATTCTGTAATATATATCATGCAACCAGAATAGATACTAGCTAACGTTTGTTATAATGAGCCAGATTCTATGTGATATTTGTATATTAAATTATAGAGTCCCTTTAATGTATGTCTTAAATAGGGGGTATAACTCCTTCTGTTTTATAGATGGGGAAACAGACATGGAGATGGTCAGTTGCTCTGTCCATTGCCACCATTAGAAGTGCAGGGAGAAAGTGGTGGGGCCACATGGTGGTAATGATTTGTTTTCTCATTTTGCATAGTGCCCATGTACAGTGCTTTCCGATAGAACTTTCTGTGATGGTGGAATGGTCTGTATCTGCACTGGCCAATATGGGAGTCACTAGCCACTTGAAGTGTGTTATTGAACACTTGAAGGGTGGCTCGTGTCACTGAAGCATTAGATTTTAAATTTTAGCAAATGAAATTTTAAGTTTTGCCACATGAAATTGTGGCTGTTATATTGGACAGTGTAGCTCTCTAGAATGATGAAATTCCCTCTAGAAATTCTGGCTCAGGACCAACTTCTAAAAAAAAGAGATCCAAATCACGCTGACCTGATGCTTGTACATTCTAGGTAGAAGCTGCTTTCCTGGTCAGCCTTCTTCCTTTCCTTCCTTGTCTGAGCCACCCGTGGCCTGGGCACTGGTTTCTGAACATCCATCTGCTTCTGCTCTCCCACCACTCCTTTCGACTGAGCCAAGCGGGAGCCATTGCTGTGGCTTCTCACACCATGTGGCACCCTCTGTGTCCCCATCTGAGCTGTCTGATGGCAGTAGCTAGTAGCTCTTTTGGGCTCTTTTCCCTGAAAGCCCCCAGCATCCTATCTTCTCAGTCAGCTTCTTTTTGATAACTCAGCTTAACGGGTAGTTTTCCTGTGTCTTTGGGAAAATGTAGGATAGGCCACTGAGCCATCTGGGGTCTGTTTTGAGGATTTTCTTCCATTGAGCCATAGCTGGTCTTTTTCTCTTCCACATCAGGGTTTAGGTTCAGAAAGTTTAAGAGAAAGATCATTGATAATGTCTTTTTCCTATTTCCAAGACAAAAAGTACAAACTGTTGCTTACGTAGCTCCATGAGTGGTTACATGCTGGCATCTGGAGCCTTAAACAGCCAGCTTTTTGGCTCACAGAAATAAACAGCATTGCGATACGTGGGAGAGGATGACTTTTGTTTTCCCGAAGTGACCACATTAGCCTTTTAATTCTTACTGTCTAGAATCTGCCCAGCCACAGCCCCTCCTCCTCACCGAGTATTAATGCCAACAATGTGCTTTTAACATGATCACCTCCCAGCAGTAAACCAGGAAACTAGTTTTTGCATGAACCACTTGAAACAGTCTTCAAGTCTCTGGCACGGTTTTCAAAGTAAACTTTTCTAACCAATTATTGGGATGACTTTAATGTAAAAAATTAATTCTTGTAAACAACAACACA